CCCCTGTCTCTAATTATATTGGCTGTTCAGCATAATATACATCAACTGTGAGCTCGTAAATTTATAGGACTTTTACCTGTGTCCCTACACATAAAGATGTGTCATCACTTTCTTTATTGACTTTCTCCTGTCATAAGCATAAAGCATTTGACTCAACCCTGAATTCTTCTGACTCCTACAACATATATTTTCCAACTTTGTAAATTTACTTGCTGCCACCTCTGAACAGCTAGTATTTAACACTTTCTAGTATATTTTTTCCCAGAAACTGTCACTGATGATTTATTGTTCTAGTCTACTAAAATCGTAAACTAGACAAATCTTTACTTTGTCCAAAACACAGTGGCAATGTTTTGAAAAAAAATAAATAAAAATGCCCCAGCCTTTAGTATTTTTTCCGAGTTTCTATCTGTATTTGTGTAGTTCTCTAAGAATATTCCATATTTTTTTACTACGTCTTCACAGCATGCAGTGTCTCTATGCAAAGACAGCAGAAAAGTGCATTCCCCAAGTGCTTTTATTCACTGGGTAAGCCTGGCAATCTCAAGGTGGAAGTGTTCTCTGTTCTGATTGATTCCTTCTCTCACAACACACAGTGGAGTATTTTGGTTTGGTTTGGTTTATTTTTCTGATTTTATTTCCTCATTCTGAGCAGCCATCTTGATTTTTTAACTTGATCTTCTCTTTTTCGCAGTATGAATTAATTTGTCATTTCCCACCTCTTATTACGTAACTCACAAGCATGCATTGTGACAGGATTGTATGCATGCATGCATATGACAGGATTGGGCAAATCATACTTTCAGGCATCCTCTACATGATTCGGTTGTTTTTAAGCCTTCTAAATGTTTTTAAACCATATCAGGATGTCTGCCACCTCTTATGAAACATTTTCTTTCTTGTTATGTAAATACGTACAGATATACAAGGTACATTTTGAGAAGCAAAGTGCTATATAAACCAAGTTGGGCTCTTTTATTTTTCATATGAGAAGAAAAATGCAGACTCTGTCTTCAAAATTCATGAAAATACATGTTTATTTATTCAAACGTCTGGAGAGGTTCATTCCGTGTCATTCCTGTCTCTTGAGTAAATATATTACTCATTCTTAAGAAAAAAAAAAGAATTACTGACTTGAGTGATTAGAAAAAGCTCTTTCAAAATCAGGTTAGCTGATAAAGTAAATAAATACATAAATGGCTAAAAGAAAAAGAAAAAAAAGTAAAAGGAAAAACTAGTCAAGCACAACTTACTCTGTATACTTGATACGCATGTAAGTAAGTATTAGAAATCAAGCTTTGTGGAACATGTATTAAATAATTATGATTTGTACTTATAAATAAATACATGCAAATTCAAAGGTAAGGGCACATTCAAGATTGCAAAGCATCACTAGAAGTGGTTGTCTTTTTGGGTGTATCTAAGCATAAAAGTTGAAAGCCATGTTCTGGTTTTTGCAGAGATGAAGAGAGAATTTGGGTTTGCATTTGTTTGTTGCTTTTGTTTTGTTTTGTTATGTTTTTTCAGTTGGGGAAATCTTCATATTACATATTTTTATGCAACAGCCACTCACAAAGCCAGGCACCATTTGCATATGACCCACAGCGTAGTGTTATTACCAAGGTGTCCAGCCCTGTAAAAGCTGATTTCCCATACCCTATTCAAACAACCTTAAGGTCCAGTGTATTTGCAGCTGTATTCACCCTTCAAAACTGAAGCTTGTTAATGAAGTTATGTACTTCATCAGGCCTTTTTTTTTTTTTCTTTTCATCACAACGTTTTTTAAGACAGAGATAACTGCTATATCCAGCATTCCTGCTCTCTGTAAGTAAGTAGATAATAAAGATGTAACTGCATTCACTGTTCTGCTTTTTATAGTTTAGCTTCAGTTTTAGAATATAATTTTCTGCATCATCTTGGGAATTACAGGTAGAAGGTGCAGCCCAAAATAATTAATGTTGTTAAGATTCTATGGAAATAACACAGTTACTAGCAACATGCAGCATCCTTCAGTTTGTGTTTCAGTCTTCATACATCTGCACTACAGAACGTCTTAGAAACATGGCCTTTTCACATTACTGGAGTAGCATCATCAATGATTTGCATTGTAACTAGTCTGGAAAGATCTGTACAACATTGTTGCACTAAAAGCATGAATCTACCACACAGATGAAGTTTTTAAGTGTCAGGAAAACATCAGAGTCCTGGGGAAACTTGAAAAAATGATTGCAAGGAGATAGCAACCGGATCAAGCTTGTAATTAGCTGTACTGTGGGCTAATGTTGCTTTTTTTCTCCAATCTCAAGCACCTTCAGTTGCAAACCAAGTGAGGAGACATGTCTTCATATCATTTATGAGTCTGTATTTTCTTTATTTATTAATATTTTTGTTTGACTGTCTTGACCTTCCAGCTAAAAATCAGGTTTCGTTGTCATCAGTGATTTTTCTGAGAGTAGAACAAGGATATGAAAAGAATCTGTGGATAAAGGTGTCAATTTATGTTTGCGAACTTATTGTGAGATTATGTTACCTCCGTTATGTCTCTTTGTTCAACTTATGTTGTTATTTTAGCCCAAAAAAGGCCAAAGATCATCAGCTAAAGTGCATGTAGAGTAAAGCTGCTCCTGTAAAATTGATGATCCGTCCAATTATTTATCTATAGAGGCTGCTGGGAAGAAACGCAACTATCTCAGTTCTCAGACCCCTCTGCTAGGTTGAACTTCATGGCTGAAGGTTTAATCCCTAAGTGTCATATCAACAATTCATTCTGTGATATTCTGGCTGACATGCTCTCCTTCCTTATTTATTGATGTCTTCAGTCATCGACAATGAGAGGAAAATACACTATTCGTCAAAGTGATGGTGTTTTACCCTCGCTTACAGTTGATGCTGCTGTCACATTGATGGTTGGAAAATAAACTCAATCATTATAAAAAGCTAAGAGTGTGAACTTGCCAGTGACAGGAAGAAGATGAAAAAAAAAAAAAAAAAGAACCACAGTAACTTGCTTAAAATTGGTGTAAAGAACATAGAGATGTTTCCTATAAAGATATTTTTGAGCTTTGTTTGGGAAATATCAAGCCATTTTAGCCCTTTATTTTAAAGTTATTCCTTTGAAGAAAAATCTGTTCCTTGCACTCCTTTATGTCTATGCAAATGTATGTATAATTTTTAGCAATAAATATTTGTTATCATTCCACCTTATGCTACTACCTGGTTAGCATTTTTTTTTTCCTCTTTATTTTAAGGTATTTTGCTTTGTTTTTTTCTCTCCCAGATTACACTGAATCCATGTATCTGTTTTTGTATGCCAGTATTTTAAGTGCTTTGATGAAGAATAAGCTTAGTATAGCTTCCTCCAGTAAGTCCTTTGACATACAAACATAGGCAATGCCTCTTGAATCACTTTCTTAGTCTACCATTTGTATGACTGTACTGCACCTTACAGCTTTTTTAACTCAATAACCACATATCTTACCACATTTCACCTTTGGGAGGCATTGTATATACAGCTAAAAGTGAAGAGCAGCAAGCCAAGAGGGACAAGATAGCATAATGAGGATGTCAATTTGTGGTCAGATATCTGAGGAAATATTTATCTTACTTGTACTGAACTTGGCAACAGATAGAGAAATATATATGTAATGAATTTCTGTAGACTTTGTCTAACAGTGTGTACCTTCTGTTAAATGCATTTAGAAAAAAAAAAAGAAAAAAAAAATGCCTGTCCCACATTTTAAAAGTTTGAGGTGATTCTAATTTGGATTGACTCCAAAATGGACTGTATGTTTAAAAAAAAAAAAAGTCATGTTCTCTCTACTAACATATATATATATTTTACCAATTCATTTCTGTACATCTCACATAGTGACATATTAAGTCCAACTCATTCACCAGAACAATATGATTTCTGTTGTTTATAAAAATAAAATGAAATGTTTTTTATAGTTTTACTTAGCTAGCAGCCTAGCTAAGTTGCCTAAATGAATGTGTGCAGAAATGCCTGGTTGTCTCACACTTGCAATGTGTCCTGAGGCAAGTTACAGCTGCTTCAGCTACTTGTGTCTGCTTCCCCACCTGTAAAATGGGAATGATTTAACTTATTTTTCTCCTTCAGGGAAATACAGGGAGGGTTTCTTAATGTTTCTATAGAGCTTTGAAGATTAAAATCTCTTCTCTGTATTTGCTGCTATTATTTCAGTCAAAGAGGAGGGTTTGACTGAAGCTGTTTGAAGAGTAAAGTTTTGGCATCTTGATTTGTCTTTGTACCGTATCTTGAGGCTTGGATTCCTTTCTCCGCTATAATTTTGCAACCTTTGGTTCAACAGGAGCTGCGGAAGCAAATAACCCATGAGTAAACAAACAGAGATGCCAAAAGATTAATGTATGTGTCTGCTGTTAAAAACATCAGGAGATGTATCACGGTGTATCTTCAGTTTTGCCAGAAATAGTATCAGATGAAGCAAAATAGACACCAGTAGCTGGTTTGGGCGTAGCCCAAAATAGCTTTTATTTAAGCGTCAATGGTAAAAGCTGGGAAGCACAAGAAATATATTCTAATTTTTTTTCCAGTATCCTTAGATGTATAAGTATTGCTGGTGTTTTTAGTGAAAGCTTCCTGACTTCCTTGCTAAGGCAAGGAGTGTGCATAAAGAGTGCGTGGGAAGTATGAACACCCATCACTTAGAGCAAGTTTGAAAGTCTTGCCTTCAGTTTGTTGACCAAAATCAGCATTGGTTTCCAGGGCCTCCAAAACCTTGGCAGATTGCAGGGGGATAGCTTCTGGTTTGGTTGGTGCTTCTGCAGTTTTATGTTGCTTGGAAAAGTTAAAATTTAGTATAATGATACTTTCCTCTTAGCAGTTAGGACTGATTAAGCCATCATATGTATTAAATGCTGTTGTTCTTGAAATAACTTTGTTACAATCTAACCTGGCATTTTGAGGCCTTACAGTCACAAGGTATATTTTTCATGATTTACATTTTGATTTTTTAATGCAGAGCAGATTGGACAGGAGATGCTGGAAAACCTCAGCCATGACAGAGAGAAGATCCAGCGTGCTCGGGAAAGGGTAAGTTTGATAATAAGTAATTGCTGGTCATGGATTTTATTTGCTTTGGGCAAGTTCACTGTGCATGCAAAAATAATCCAGCATACTGGTTAGTTTTATATAAATCAGCTGCTATCATGAGATGTAATCACCATCTGAAGCAAAGCACTTAAAAAGTGTATTATATGGGCCCAGTCCTGCAAATCTCTCCCACAGGGAGTCACACTGAAGCCACCAAAACCCACCGTTGCAAGCAAGCTTTGTGTCACCATCACCACAGTCAGATCTGCTTTTTGTCCTTTGAAAGACTTTTTTTTTATAGTGTCCATTGCAATCACCTCTTGTACTCTCTGAAACAAAGTTCAGTATCATGATTTAGCTTCTAATAATTGATCAACAGCTGCTCTTTTTCGCTGCAGATGCTAAGAATTGACTTCTGAGGATGTATGCAATAGTTACCACCTTTTCTCAATGTCCCCAGTGTTGTATGGGTAAAACCAACATTTCTTTCTGTGTTGGGGTTCCCTACACTGCTGCTCTGTCACTACAGTCAAAAGGTATCTATGTCCTGTTTGGCTTATGTTGCCTCTATAGTTTAATGAAGATGCCCATCCAACTCTTGCAACTTCTCTAAACTTCAGTCTAAGAGATTTGACCCTTTGGTTCTGATTTCTGCTCACAGTTTCAGGAAGATCTCACCAGCTCTGCTGACTCACCCAGAACACGGAGTGACTGAATCTGTGACTTTCTGTCTATGACACATTGATCAGACACTTTCTTGAGCATCCAGTGTTGCCAAAGCCAAGGCATCTTACAGGCCTCTAGCTGACAAATGCCACTTAAGGAAACTCCTTGATATGTCCCAGGGAGTTTCGTTACCTGGATAGCTCTGATTGGTAAAGCCCCATATGACCACTTGTACGAAGCATTTTCTGTCAGTAACACCAGTTGCTTCTTGAAGTCCTGGGCATTAGCTACTTTAAAACATTAAGTATAACTAAGTCATTAGATATAAGGATTGTGAGCATGTACCAAGTGTTGTTGAGGCAATTTTGTGTCTTGTTTTCCCTTCACTCCTCACATGCCTTGTGACTGCTAAGTCTGAGATGCTTTTTTGTTTCTGTGTGGACAAACAGAACCTGGGCAATGGAGCTGAATAATGTGTATCTCTGTGCTGACCCTAAAAATACTTGTGAATGATAGAGAAAGAGGAGGCGTGGTTCTGATGACTCCTTATACATGTCGTTTGTAGTACAAATTTTACATTCTGCATGAAAAGCAAATTTCATTGATGGAAAAACCTGAAAGCTGTAAAGCATGAGATTAAATATAAGAGTATTCTAGGAAAGAACATCCAGTAACAATTCTGCAAAAGATCTCGTCATAAATGGAAGATCTTAAATTCCAAAATTTTATTGTACGCTATTTAAATATTTTGTCTAGAGATTTCATAAAAGTGCACCTGTCTATATACTCAAATGTAAAGTTAAGGATGATATTGGACAACTTCACAAGTTTTCCATTTTGTGTAGGTTTTTTAATCTCCTTGGTTAAAAAAAGTGTCCTTTTGGAGAGGACAGAGGGTATTCTATCAATGCATAATAGCTTTACACTAAATACAGATATTTAGCAAATATTTACACTAAATGCAGATATTGTCTTACCAGCCTAGGAACAAACTTGTCTTCTGAACATCAGATGTCATCTTGAGTATGATGGCCAGTTCTTAGCAGTTTAATCTTGTGAAAATTAGAAACATTTTCTTTTGAGCAAAATGTAAACAAGGTAGTGTCTCTATAGTTTGGTTAAGTTTATGTATTTGCTTTCCTGTCAGAAGAGTAAAATGCTTGAATGAAGAAAAATGGAAGACATAAGTAGTATTATTTGGAATATATTAAGATGATGTGCAATGCAACGTACATGTATAACATCCATGAAAAAGGAATTCCCTAAACTATCTCTTATTTTTTAAACCAAAGAGAGGGGATAAAAGCTCTGCTACAGGAGCCAGAGAGGTTAACTGTACTATAAAGGACTCTAAAAGATGCAATACTTTTTTAGGAAAGCCTTGAATTAAAATGTGTATAAGGCAGACAAGATATCAACATCAACATCTTCCTCATCTTCCTTCTTTTCTCATTATTATTCTCCTTATTATTTTAAAAAGCATTCTTAAATACCATGCAGATTTGCCATTGCTAATATTAAAGCAGCTTTCAAAAGGTTTTCACTACAGCAAGGAAGTGCCGTTATATGCCATTTAACAGTTTTGCATGTCACCAATTCTTTGGCTTCTGCAGTGCAATGGTATTAGTTAAATGATGGAAGAGCTACCATCAGATATTTCAGTTTTAAATAAAAACAAACTTACAGTTTGAAAAACAAAACAAAACATTTTGGATTGGGTTGTTGTTTTGTTTTGCTTTGTTTTTCCCTGCCAATGCAAAAAGAGAAGGCTTTTTTTAATGTTCTCTTGGAATGTAGCTAGAGATCTTCCAACTATGTGTGTATGTGTTTGTTTCTTTTTAACGTTTCTTTTGCTTGTGTGTGTGTGTTTTTATTATTTTATTGCCATAAAGGTATGAGGTCGTCTTGCTTAGAGGACTTTGTCAAACCTCTGCGGTTCAGCTTCCCCTTTCTAACTATCAGTACTGATTCTAGCTGCTAGGTAGAATCCTGCAGCAAGACAAGAAAGTTAGGATCAAACATCTAATGGTAAAAAGGAGAGAGCTACTTTTCTGTGAAAAGGGAGGAGAAGCCCCAAGTGTTAAATGCATCTTTATGAATAATAAAAGACCAATGTAAAGCATACATTTGTGCTTTAGATTCCCTTCTAGCATGGGTAAGAACCTGGCTTTTTAATGAGCCTTTAAAAATTATTATGACATTTTTTCTTCTGTTACTTGTGTCAAACTGGGCTAAACTGCTTTTCTGGAGCTTAAATTGTCTAGATGAATCAAGAAAAAAATGAGGGGATGACCTCCCTGAAATATAATGCTCATCTTTGTTCCATCATGCTGCATAATTACAGAGCTCTCAGAGTCAGTGCAAGCCTTCTCACTGAATATGATATTACTAAGAGCTGTCTTGGTTGGTGTACCTAGTCCCATCTTCTACATGGTATTTCCTTAATACCTTTTATAAGAACAAGACGGAAATTTATACATAAAGGTTATGTGTCATTGATTGCAACTACTGATTTCAGTAATAAGCATTACATCTAGTAGCAAATATTTACAATATTAGGCTCCAAAACAGCAACTGGTTTTAATATTGCTGCTATGCATATATTCAAGATAAAAACAGTGGCTTGTTATGGTGAAGGTGATTTGTTATCGAAAGACTGCCTGTTTTCTTGGCAAAGTTGCTGTTTCAGTGAATTTATAACACAGGATGCATGTCTTGTACAACAAAGTTTCTTTAGTAAGAAGTCAATGAGTCAGATAATCATTTCAATCTGATTTGATAATGAAGAGGTAAATATTCACCTTTCGTAAGCAGAAGAATGTTTTATGTATGTATACACAGCTGTGTTTAAAAATAGTGGTCCCTGCTATTCTGTAATTGACAACTGTTACACTATCCTTTATAGTATATTTTGATGTTTATCCATGTTTAGAGATCTCTAGAAAGTCCAAAGATGTCTCTTCTTTAGCTATCTGTAGCAAAAGATGTAATAGGAGACATTATTTCTAGAGTGCCTTTTGTGAGATACTAACACAACAATAGAAGGAAGAATTTAATACCTTTTAAAGAAAAATAGAAAAAAAATATATTTTTTAATAGGAATTTTACTTTCTCCATAACCTTTCTTTTATTAACCCCCATTTCACTTTTCATTTGGTTGTAGTTTTACGTATTTTGCAAGATTTTTGAACTGTAGAACAAGTCAGCTAATCAAGTTAAGCTGTCAATGTAGTTTTCCTGCATCCTATTAAACTACTAAAAACACTGTTTCCAGTGAGTGATCTTTACATGCAAAAATATATATTATACAGATGTGCACTTTGTGCATACTATACACATATTATTGTCATTTACACATTGTACATAAAGTATTTGGGCATCCATTCCACTGATGGCTGCTGTAAGGTCACAACGGGTTTTGTCTTTAAAGGGCAGTATGGGCGTATTTCTTTTATGCAGAATCAGTAAAATGACACTGTTCTGTATTACTGCTTTTTCTTTAAACTGGTGTCTTTGAAAAACAGTGAAAGAAAGATGTTTGTTTTTCTTTTCATAAAACATCAGGAACACAGCACATGGCTGTCCCTTCGTCCCTTGATGCATTCACTCATATACATAACCAATACACATACACACATCAATGGGAATTACAGATATTGATCTATAGAGCATCTACCTTCAACCTGTTTGTAAAGCTTTTGCTCTTTATCCTGATTCATCTTTGTTGCCTCAGTGTCTTATCTTCCACTGGTTTCATCTTTGTGGAAGTGAAGACCAGACAAAACATTTTCAAATTTCAGAGCTTCGGTGGCTTTCTCACGTGTGAGTTTGTTGCAGACTGAAACTGAAGTTGATTGAATCAAACAATGATAGAAATAGCTATTCTTTGTACAGAATTGAGTACATGTAACATTTGATTTTAATGGGACTCTTTTCTCCCCAGCTTAGAGAAACAGATGCAAACCTGGGGAAGAGCTCCAGGATTTTGACAGGGATGTTGCGAAGGTAAGGCCAAGGTAGGGACACTTCCACTCTTTCTTTTTTTCCCTCTTTCCCTCTGTGGCTTTACTTTTAGTTCTAGTTCAGCCTCTGCATTTTGCTGACTTACTTGACTTTTTTACACAGGTTGCTATGTAGAATTTCTTCAAATGAATTCTGATAATGAAGCAGGCAGGGTTAGATAGAAGGCTTTATCACAGCTATGGAAAGAATTTTCTGTAGCCTGAGGGATTACCCCTTGTTCACTCATTTCTCATCTTTGTTTCTTTGTATTTGGGGCTTTTTTGGTCTGTTCTAAAATTAAGCTTTTTGATGATGGTTTCCTGCATTCCTTATTCTCAGGTGTTTTCAGGGTTTTTTACCTATAAGATTTTATGTGAGAAAGTTTGTAAATCTTTTGGGGCAGCATAAATTTGCTAACAGAGAGCAAATGATCAGTTTTGTCTGAATAGATTGGGCAGACACATTGTAAAATGTTGTGATTTTAGCATGTTATTTCCATGTTTTCAATGGTGTGCAAATTGTCACTGGGATTAAAGTGAGATGATACAGAAAGGGAAAATTTACAACATCCTAAAAATCTATGTGGGTTTGAAGTGAGGGAGGTATCCACTGATTATTCCCACCTTAAATTATATCAGTAGCTTCCCAGACAATTTTTTTTTTTTGAGTTTTTAGCATCTCTGGATATGTGTTCTTTACCCAGTGAAGCAACACAAGCTTCTACGTGATATCCATGTTTCTGTACTTTTATTCAGCTTCCTGAAAAAGAAAAGCATCACTCTAATAGGTGATGTTGGGTGCTATGAAAACACATTTTTCCAAGGAACATATAGCATCCTCAGAAGAGTGCAGTATGAAATTACACTTCCTGTGGGCTTTTACATGGCATGTTTGCTTAACACAACTAGCTTTTTTAAAAAACAAACAAACAAAAAAGTAAGCTTTAGGAGAATTTTTGATTTATCGCTTACCTTGGAAAACAGCAAAATGAGAATATAACTTGTTCTATAGCACAAGCTTTATCTTTTCATAAGTCTCCTCAGAAAAATGGCTTTGTTAGTACCTTTTATACTCAGTCGACAAAGGTTAAATTGACCGAACCTGATGCCTTCATTTCACAGATTTCTTACAATTCCAACTCCAAACTGTAACATATAAAATTCTCTGATTAAGAGTAATATGTAAATGACATGAGCTAAATTTAAAATCCATGGAGAAAGAAAGTGGCAATTGAAAGGGATGCTTCAGTGCTTGTAGACAATCTAAATAAAACACACACACACACACACACACACAAAAAAAAAAAAAAAAAAAAAAGGAAAGAAAGAAAGAAAAGACACAACCAAACCCAAGTCTCCCCAGGAAGGACCCTGCGACATGAGCTGTAACGAATATTCTGCATATGTCTCCATTTTGTCAAATCTCATTAAAGGGGTTTCTTGCTTTATGTCAATTGAGCTGTCCAAAAATCATTCATCATTTTAGTGTAAGAAAAAATCATGCGGTTATTTAAATAATATCATATTAATGTTAAAGTTCAGCTGTCATTTAATGGTATGGCTTAATCAGACATAGCATTTAGGAAAAATAGTTTTTTCGGGGTTTACTTGGCTTTCAGGTTGGCAGATTCAAATAAGGATTTATGGGTTTCTGAACCAATGTATTCTTTCCATGTTTATGCTTGAGATACCTCAGCCTTTTTTGCAGCACCCTGTAGTCTGTTATTTTCAATAAAATAAAGTATCTCCTCATATTGTGTTTGAATACATTTGCAAGTAATTTGGAGAAGCTGGAACAAAAACATATGCTGTAACCTTTGACTTTGTTTTGTGTTTGGGAATCACAGTTAGGAGTCCTAGTTTATAACTGTTCCATAAGCCAAATGAAAAATGTGATCTCTCTGAAATATACTTGGGTTTGTGTTTTCAGACAAAAGGGTTATGCAATTGGAGCACAAGAATGGCGTGGTTTCGTGTGTCAAGAAAGCATGGGATTTCCTTTTTATTTAACAAAAATACTGAGTTGGTTCACCCATCTGGATGAAAGGCAGGTTAGGATTTAGGCTCAGTTCAGGTGAATTCAGGTGAATTTGTCAAAAGAAATGACTCAGCATATATGTAACTTGCCATAGAAGATTCTCAGGATGTTTTGTAAAAAAGCTTAATAGGTCCATGGTAAAATTAATTTGCTCTATGACTATTGACTAGAAATCTAGCATCATCCCAGACTCAGAATCATCCCAATATTGTTTAGTCACACGGATAGTCATAACATATGAAACCCACAAAATCAGCACAAATTAGATAAATACAATGTAAAAAATAATTAACATGGATTGGCAGTTGTGTCCTAATTCTGCATACTTCAGTAAGTACTACACAATGTTTCACTTAATTATTGGAACCAATGAAGAAAAATGCTTGAGGACTATTCTTCACATCATTATCATACAGAAAAGGTAATGTTAAGCTGAACATTGCTCAGCTTAGCTGCTGCTCCTACAATATGTATTTTATGATATGCTTGAAGTTGTGTGCCAGACTAACACTCTGTGCATTCAATTAATGCCAAACTGCTTCTATTTTTACTCTCTGGGAAAGGTAAAGCAGCATCTCTTCTGAGATGGCCAAACGAGTGATTAGATATTTAAATAGGTAGCGTTCTTAATGAGGGCTAAAATACTCCCTTTGTACAACTGAAATTCCCTGGCATTGCGTTTGTGCATAAAAAGTTATGTAGGTGAGGAATGAAAGTGGGAATAAGTTTTGCTAGTTGCCATAGGTCAATAAAGAAATCAGTGATAGAATAGGGACAGATCTTCCTATTCCAGCTTGCTCCTGTAGCAACTTAAAGTAGCCAGGTTTATGTACTGGATTTTATCTCAGTATTTTGTGTATATGGGTAAAGAGGTTTTTTGTAACAAATCTTTCAGAATATTTTTGCTTTGAAATACTTGTAATATTCTTTTTCCTTATCTGTAAATAAGCCTACTGAGATGCCTCTAAACTAGAATGTTACACTTACGGCAGGCACTTCGTTACTAGGATATCACCATGTTGATAATGTCAAAACATTAATCATTTTCTTTTATGTGTATCTAGAGCTCTGGACATCCTGACATTTTATGACTACTCTTTAAAGCAGTGAGACTGTAACAAAAGCTCAGTGTCGTTTCAGTTATAGAATTTGTATGTAATAGATTTTAACAGAAGGAAAGGCATCCTTTGTGGTCCTCTGCAATGTTGCCATCTCAGACATCTATCCTTTGGCCTCTACCCTGATGTGAATTAGGGAGTGCTAGAAAAATTAGAGTGTTAGAAAGAAGCAGAGAAGAATATGTTGTGACAGATCTTCAGTTGTTTCTCCATATCCTAAGCCAATAGCCTAGAAGAGCTTTTAGGAGAAGAATTTGGACAGTCTCCAAGACACACTCTGCCCAATTTCAGTGGGAAACAAACAAACCTAGAAGTAACCAGATAAAAATTTCAGTATATTTGAATCTTTATCACATTAGCAGGTAAATTCTATGTACCTCCCAGACAAATATTTTAGAAAAATATTTACTTCCCTCCACAACAATATTTGATTCGGCCTGGCTCAACAGGATTTTTTTATGCCCAAAATTCTCTTTTGATCTTCAAATTTCAGATCATCTCAGAAGATAACTTCTGAGTTATCAACAATTCTTTGAGAAACTCGTGAATACCTTTGCTCTTATAAAAGAGACTTTAAATATATATATATTTCAGATAGGACAGAGAAAATTTCAGCTGGTGAAAAAGAAACAGTATGTGTTCAACTCTCAGGTGATAAATGAGATGGCTTGCCAACATGTGCGTAACCAATGTGACCACAACCAAAAGCAGGGAATGCTTCCCCCTCCAAACTATTTGTAGTCAAGCTCCTTCACTCTTCTTTACAGGTATTTTATCTTCTCGCAGTATTTCTAGTCAAACTATGTACTTTTGAACTCCAAGGAAGTCCAGACCCCACAGTTATCATTCAGCATTTCATACAATCATACGACAATTTGGAAGAGACCCCTAGGGGTCATCTAGTCCAACCTCCTGTTCAAAAAAAGTCTAACTAGAGCAGACTGCTCAGAGACTTGTCTAGTCAAGTGTTGAACACACTAAGATTGGAGATACCAAAACCTCTATTGGAAGTCTGGTCAAGCAGTAGTTGAAATAAGCACTTTTTCCAGGAAGCAAATGGAAATTTCACATCATCCAGCTTTTGTCCATTGCCTCTGGTCCTAAGTATAAAGTATCATATTCAAAACGTAAGTGTTTTAGAACTGACCTTCAGAGGAAATTCTTTAAACAGAGTGTGGGGTGCTCTGCCTCCAGCCGTTGACTTGGTGGCATGGCCATTCAGCAATTGGTGCACAAGAGATTTTATTTGCTTTCTCACACTTCTGGAGACATGAAAAGTTAGTTATGGTCTCTTCTGCCTTCTTTCTTGACTAGGAAGCCCCCATTCCCATACACAGAAGAAAATCAGCAGAGAAAGTCATCTCCTTGTTAAGACAAATTGAAACCAATACTGAGTGTTATCACTGTCTTTTTCCCTGTTTCACTACTGATCTCTGTTCCCATCCCCAGAAGTCCCTAACAAAAAGATTTTCTTCTGAACTAAAGCTTATTGCAATATCAGTCGTATCAGTCATATCAGGCCATGACTGTTGAATACTGAGCGAAGTTTAACATGCAGTTGGATCTGCCTTGTTTTCATGCTAATAAAGAAATTCCTCTTTCCAGCGGAACTTTGCATATTTGGTCTCAAGCCAAAAGAAGTTTGAGTAGAAATTGTTTCAGCAGCTCTTTGGTACATAAATGTATTTCTATTTTTACTTCAAGATGTATTTCTACACTGAAAAATGATTGAATGGTAAATCCTTTTGCAACATGTCTGCTCCATGTTAAATATTTACAGCTGCAGCTGTTTACTTCAGTAATTTAGACCTTGATTCAGGAAAATATTTAAGCATATGGTTAACTTAAACCAGAGAAGC